TTGCATTGTCAAGCTGCCAGACATCTATTGGGTATTTCCAAAAACAGAATTTAAAGATTATCAGTATTAACTTTTTTTAACAGTTCCTCATTCCTCTGTCATCCCATTCAAACCTTTAAAACATAAACTTATTTATTTTTGGATCAAGGCCTTGATCTATGCAGAAAGAAAACACAAAAGACAAAATGACAAAACAAGCATACAGTGTGGTAAATATAAATAACATATTTGATGGTTTTTTTATTAACTGCTTTTGAAAAAACAACCATTCACGTTCATTTAATCTTTGATGTAGGACCTAAAACACCGACCACTGCAGGAAACTACGGTATAGCTCGTACTAAGACTCCCTTCATTGGATGATGATCATACCACAACATAAATTTTGGCAAAGCCTTTAGGAGTAAATCATGAATGCAGTGGGTAATTAATCATGTGTAAAACAACGTGATGGGTCCATTACAGTTTTGAAAATGCACAAAATGTCCATCACAAGATATTGGCMGATTATTGTTGTGATGGGAGCATATCCAGGTCCTTGGTGAAGCTCAGGGAATTGTGGTTAGAAATGAAGCATCATATTCAAGGTATGGAGCTTGGTTCATGAATTTGGTCTTTGAGAATGAAGACGATCTAGCCTACACCGTCTTCATGTCTAAGCTAAGACTGTGATTTTGACAAGGTTAGGGAAACAACCAGCACCTATGTGATACCCATAGATGCATTCTGATTTTGTCCAAGTGAGCTGCAAGTAGGCATAGAAAGTATGTTCAGGATGCAGGGTTGCATCTCTGCAATGACAAAAAAATTGCACAGAAAACATTTGGCCAGTATTATCTTGGTAATGCAATAATTGCCTTTGCACTTAAGTACTATTTCTAAACTTGCAGCTTTGTTCTTACTGTGTCCATGTACTTTTTGGTTTTTCAATTTTTTTCATTTTAAAAACAGATATAAGACCCTAAAACCTTACCCAAAACAAAGTTTAGCATCCTATTTTTTTTCCTAGAAAACTTTAAATTTTTCCCTGTAGAGATTTGAGTTCCATTTTTAATTTTTTTTAACTTGAACAAGCAACTTTCACACCCCATAAAAAAACACAGGGCTACGTTAACYGTAACAGATCATGGATCAAACGAAGTACCAGGCTGTTTTCTTTATTCCATTCTTGAGATTTATTCCTGCTGCCTTTAAGTGCAGAACATACAGAATCGCAGACCTTGCAGATCTGTGCCGAACTCAGTTGTTCTCAGATCAAGGGTTGACGCAGCTTGAAATATCAAATCATTTAAAGTTTTCTATTTGTCCTCACTCATGTTGCTGAAATTGCTCCTCTCAATAGTTCTGTGATAAAGAAATGGATTCCTTTATGGTTTTCACCTCTCTTATCAGCAACATATGTGTGCTTCTTCCTGATAAACTAGTCCCGCCGTGTGTTCAACTGATTGTGTTACCACCTCATTGACCATTTCTCACTCTGTCACTGCAAATGGCCAGTGGCCTTATAAAGTGGATTACCTTCTCATGAAATGAACACAGATTGGGATAATTCACTCTGTGCAGAAGATGAGATTACAGCGATAACACTTCTTGTTCATAAACCTTGATTAGTCCTGTCATCGCAGAAAAAAAACTGCCCAATTTTGTAACATCCATGAGTAGTGCTATTTTAGCATGCTCATTTGTTTTCACGTACAAAGACACCCAAAGTGCTCCACTTTCTTAGACTGCAAATATCTGGCAGCAACTTGGGCGATAACGCCAATACAATTAAAACTTAAAGGTTAGCTTGCATATTTGAGGTGGTATAAATTAGGGTTAGAAGATGGGGTGTCCTGAGTCATCACAAGTATTGAATTGGAATAAACCAGGTATTTTCACAGATCACAATAATGCTGAAGAAACTGACACTTTTAAACTCTTAATTTGATACAGTCGATGGTTTTGCATCACATCGGATCAGATGTTCTACAATACAACTGCTGTATGGAAGCTGTGATATAGACTGGAAACAAAAGGCGCATGCGCACCAATTGTCTATTTTGTTTTCCTTGTGAGGTAAAAGATTCCCTCCCAGACTGCTTGGCCATTCTACATGAAAACCACCGATGCTTC